TCAAGCTATTTGGGCAATGCCTAGCCCATTGCCAGCTATACAGCACACTTAGCTGGGAATTTGTCAGGGACAAGTTCAGATCTCCTCTTGGTGAACAGGAGGGTATCCCACACACTGGTCATGTTCTTTAACCATTACACGATTGGGCTAAAAGGTATGAGCGCTGTTCCGTGCCCCGTCTTCCAGCATCAAGTACTGGCTAGTTATGTTTTTCTGCAACAAGGGTTTGGGGCCTTACTCCATGGAAGAGGCATGCCCAAATCATTCATTTGTACCCTGGAGCCTAGGCACCCAGAGTACAGCCTCCTGAGCATGCATAGCTACTCCAGTGTAGATAGAATTCAAACTGGGCATGTCAAACATTGTGGTTATGCAGATAAGTGTCACCTAGGTGGATAAGGATGAGTGAAGAGTAACCCCGATACCAGAGGTGGAACAGCACTTCTCTGTGTTCTGGGCGGCAGCATTGCATGGGGGATCACTAATTGGCTATTGTGCCCACTCCCTCACCCCCCTCAAATTGTGATGCTTGGGGCTACTGCCCGAGTCTCCCCTAACTCAGGTATACTACTTGCCAATAATTCCTGCATGAGAAGCTGTCACTGATTAATAAGCAGGCAGTAAACTCACACCAGTATGATCACAGAATACCTAAAACTTACCAATGTCTTGCTTATGTATTTCTTACAAGTCTTGACATAGACTCCCATACAAAGCAAGACATGGATTTTGTGTAAATCTGATATGTTTTATTAGACCAACTAAAATAGTTGAAAAAATGCTTTGCAAGCTTTCGGGTATGAACACCCTTCTTCAGACTGAGGAAGCATCTGCAGTTGGTCTGTGCTCTTCCTGGATGGAATAGAATAGAAGTCAGAGGCCAGTAAGCATGCAAGAATGCCAGTCAGTGAAAATGCTAATTGAAGCTGTCAATGGCTGAGAGACAGGTGTGGGGTGGGAAGGGGGAGGAATGTAGACCTGGTGATAAGAATATAGCTGGTAGATAGAAGAGAGGTTACCTGGGGTATCAGATTTAGACAGGTTGCAATGTGTCATAAATACAATGTCTATATTTAGTTCATGATTTTTTTTGTATTCGGTAGGTTGATGAAGTGAAGCTTGTAGGCTCATCTGCGAAAGGTTTTGTAAATTCCCTTTTGAGGATTAGAACTGAGACATTGGAGAGAGAGAGTGGTTTTCTTGTGAGAAATTTGCCCCCACAAGTAACTGGGTATTCTTGTCTCTGATAGATTTTTGGTGCATATTCCTTCTGGTACACAGTTGTTGTTTGGTTTCTCCTGTGTATCTTCCATCAGGGTATTTGGTGCACTGGATGAGATATATTATATTTCTGGAGGTGCAGGTGTAAGATCCAAGAATGGTGATAGTTCTGTTGTGGGGGATAGTTATTGTAGGTAGTTACTGGAGATGTGTTGGCAGGTTTTACATTTCTTGTCCTGGTATGGTTTGGAGGTGTTTTGGGCCGTAGAAACTTTGCTTCTGGTGATGAGGTTGGCTAGGTTCAGTGCTTGTTTAAAGGCTAGGATGGGTGGTTGTAGGAAGATCTCTTTAAGAATTGGGTTGTCTTCTAGCATGGGTTGCAATTATTGAGGATTTTCTGTATAGGTTCTAGGGAGGGATGATATGTCATAACTAGTGGTGTGTGATTCATGGGGGTTTTGTTTCTGTTCTGCAGCGATTCTTCACGTCTTATCTCGGTGGCTCTTTCAAAAGTGTGATCTACTCTTTCCTGAGGAGTGTCCTTGTTGAGTGAAAGCCCCTTTGAGATTTCTGAGGTGAAAATTCAGTGGTATTGGAGGGTTTAGCTGTATATTACAGCTTTCCTGGTGTGTTTAGGGTGATTGCTAGTTCTGTGCAGGTATGTATGTTGGTCTGCGGGTTTCTTGTATATGGTGGCCTGTATTTTACTATTCTGGATAGTGATCATAGTGTCTAAAAAGGAAATGTTGGCTCTGGGGTATTCAAGAGATAGTCTGATAATGACGTGAAGAATTGCTTCTTCACGTCATAGTATGGAATATCACAACTATGATATTCCATACTAAAGGAATATCATAGTTGTGCTTTCCAGGTGGGCTACGTTTGAGATTTCATATTTTTTCATGGTATTATTATATATTACAAACTATATAGGAGTATAATGTCATGATAGTTTGTGATAGTGAGGTTATGTTTTCTCTATATATGGGAATTTTGTGGGGATTTGTTTTATTACTTTTCTGTAATCTATCTATGTTAGAGATACATTGGGAGCTGTACTTGTGTTTCTTTTACATTTATTGGCATTACCAAGGTGTAGAGAAGAGGAGACTACAAGGATACTTACTGAGTAAGAAGCCAGCAAAAGAAAAAAAATGCTCCCCAGGAGCCGCGGTTCTGGAGCAGTTGCTCCATAACACTAGAGAGGCCCTGGAAGAGGGGAGAGAACCCGGATGTGGACATGAGGGGGAAGGACACACATCCCAAAACCCAGAAAGATGGGTGGGATGGCCCTGGAGGCAGCAAGCCAGCAACCAGCTGGCAGAGGAGCTTTGAGGAGTTCCACTGGCAGGAGAAACACAGGAGAGGGGTCAATGCCAGAGATGAACTGATGGCCCAGAGAGGCGAGACTAGCTTAGGGAAGTGTGGCTGAACCCATACTGAACCAAGTAAAAGTTTTCCTTTCACTTTTATTTTATTTTTGAGAGCGCTGAACTGGAGTCTCTGCTGGTTGATGAATTAATGTGTCAGATAACCTGAAGCAGCCTGCCGGGTTACAGGGGGAAAGACACCCTCCTGGATGGGATTGATACACCCTGAAGAAAAGGGAAAATGGAATGACTGCAGCTCAGATGGGCTTTCTTTCATTTTGTTACTAATTTTCTTTTATAATTCCTATTGCAAAAATGGGTTTTATCTCTAGAGAGACTAGACATGAGGCTTACCTGAGCCAGAAGAGGCAATCTGACAGTCTGTGGATACTGAAGTCTGCTGCTACAATCGGCCAGAACTGTGAGAACCTAAAACAAAGGAAAGAAATTTAATAAATAAAAGAAAAATATTGAAAAGAAAGACCTGTGTGAGATCCTGATTAATGAAAGTCGGTTTTACAGCTGGGTGGTCCTAGGCTGGGGTATAGGGGAGGTTGCAGCCCCAGGAGAACCTGACCTGATATCCCAATGTCAAGTGGTGTTTATGAATAACTCCTCCCTGATACAGATTTTCTTTCAATATCAAGGCGTGGCAGTTGAGAGTCGGGACTACCACTTGGACATCCCCACAAGTGATTGCGATACCTACGATCCTGGCCAGGAAATTTTCTGTTCTACCCTTTGTTAAGTAATCCAACACAACCCCACACAAGGCTAAAAAGGTAATGTTATATTGTCTTCTATGTGACTAGGGTGTTTGTTTCTGCTCTCATGACAGCTATATGTATGGCAATATATTGAGAATTATATTCCCAGTTGCATGTGAAAGAAATATGGAGATGCAGTATTGTGCTACTGTTGACTTGCACTTTAATAAAGACACAAGATTTAAATCTGGCACACATTTTTCCTGTTTGGGCAATATATTGTGGATGATTTACTGGCAGTTATCCAACTGTGCCTTCCAGGTATCTGAGCAGGAGGGAAGAAATTAATAATAATGTTGTGAACAACAAACAAATGGGCAATAAACTGGGAATGAATCTGGCTCATGTGTGCACAGTAAATTGTTGATAATATAGTACTCTTGCTGAGTCCTTTATATGAGTAACCAAACTACTGGGATTATTAGGATAGTGCAGGAAGAAAAACCCAAGAGGGTGGCACTCATCTTAGAGCCACAGTCACAGATCTTGTTGAAGGCTGTGGTTCTGAACCTGGAAGTTTTTCATTCTTGGCTTTCTATTATATAGTTTCAGCATAATGGGTACAGAGTTCCCTCTTAGGTGCTATTTTAGAGTCATTTGGTTTGGGAGACCTGGTGGAATGTCAAACCATGGACAGTCAGGAACCTGAGTAAGTGTTCTAACAAATTATTTCTTATGTAACATTCCTGTCTGAATCTCTGTCCATGTTTTTA